TAATTTAATTTATAATTTAAATATTATTATGATTAAAATATTAATACTTTTAATAAATTTTTAAATTCAAAATATTTTACAATATATAATTAATAACTTAACCTTTTTATTATAATAAGATTTATTTTTTCTCTATTTGCATTTTTCATTTTTTAATTTAAATTTCTCTTAACAATTTAAAAATTAATTTTTATTTATTATTTAAATATATTATAATTAAAATATGAAAATATTAATAATTTTTTAATTTTAATTTAAAATATTAATTTTGTAAATTTAAGTTTGTAATTTTTTTTTTTAAAAAAAAAAATTCTAATGTAAAATGTTTGAATTTTATTTCCATGGGTGTGGAATAGCTAATACCATGAGAGAAGGTGGTACTAGCTATTCTAAGTTTTTGTTAAACCCAAAAACAAACCAAACGAGAAGATAAAATTTTGTAAGAAACAAAAGGGGAATGGTTTAGTCATTTCCCCAAACAAACGTGACCTTAGATTCATATCTCGACCAACATTCAGTATTCAATGGCTCTCTTTATAGCTACTATATATCTAAACCTGACCACTGACCATTGATAGAAGCTCATCTTTAGCCATTAATTTGTCAGCTGTTAGCAACTTAATGGCGCATGTATGCAAAGGCCTCCCTTCCGTTGACATTAATTGATACATCAATTAACCAGTTGGGTAAAACTAGAGCTAGACACTATTGTTTACTCACATTGGAGGTGAAGTGTTGCATTGTACACATTCGAGTAACGGTTGGTGAATATTCGTGTATTTAGCCATGGGAATGAAATAAATATTTCAATTTGCTATCTGCTTAATAAGTATTAGATGTGAGAGAGTGAAGGGTTTGCAGAGAAACCCGACAAGAAAACACGTTGCCCTGGCCAAAACCCTTATCCTGTTTGTTGTATTAGGACTGCAAAAAGTCATAGATGAGTGACTGAAGTGATAATGATTAAATATTAATTCACTGGTGAGCTGAACAGGGCTAACAGACTGGTTTGGCTTGAATGGGCAAAATGAAGTTTAGCCAATTTCCTGTTGGAGACAGCCTGTTACCCATTATCATAAGCTGCAATAGCGAGTCCCAAGGAAATTCATTGTTAACTCCCAGCCCCAGCTCCGGCTTGTGCCTTTCTATTAGAAATGATCTCATCATAATTAGACTACTTCACTCCCAAAGGCTACCCACGTTGTGGACCGAAGGACATGTTCGGTGGTTTGATTATATATGCAAAAATGGAGTAGTTTATAACTATAACAAGGGATTCCGGGGCAAATTTTTCCAAGATATTTTTCAAGAATTACCTGCTTTAGGAAAAAAGAAGAGGAATTTAACTGTTTCACAGGATTTTGTTAACGTTTCTGGTATGTCGTTTCCTGCAAAGCTAAGGAATTCTGCATTCACTACTGGCTGAGTTTGCTGCGCAAACGCGTTCAACAAGGCCTTGTGTGTGTTTTAACTCCAAATAGAATCCCATTCCATTACTATTGGAAGCAGCCTGAATTCTCCACGCAGAGCACCATGTGGAAGAAGTAAATGCATTAAATCGTTACCCCACCACTAGAATCCTTAGATTTACACGCCGACAAGTCAGGTTTATTAAATCCTTGCCATTATTAAGTGCTTGGTGTTCACTTGATAAAAATGCACTTAAAGGAGAAAACAGAAAAAATTACAAACAAAAAAAAAAAAGAGTAAAAAACTTCCAGTTCCAGGGAAGAACATTTTCATTTTACAAATATCTTTTTCTTTTTTTCAATGAATGCTTGTCCAGGGGCCTGTGCTTCTCCTTGGCTCTGCAGTTTCTTTGTTTCTGCTTAAGGTGTTGAGTTCATAATTTGCTGAAAAGTTCAGTATTGAAGAACTTCCAGCTTTTAAGGTTCTATAACTGCGAGGTAAAGTTTCTCAGAATCTCGGTGGTATGTTTCATTACCTTGCTTTTGCCTAAGTTTTAGAAACAAAAACGTTTCTGTCATAACTCTGTGACGAATCTGTGTCATTCCTCGACGGTGGTCTTCTGTTTCAGCTATAAGCTCTTGTCTTTGTTGCATTTGCTTCATGTCAGGTTCAAGTGGCTTCTCCCATCTTTGGCTGCCTATATTCACTTCTCGTAAGGAACTGTAAAAGGAAGAAAACTTTCCATGGAGAATTGTAGCTTGTTTTTACTGTTATGTCTTACATGGAGTCTGTTTATCTTGAGTGACTCTCAATTACAAAACTCTCAAACGCAAGTGCTTCTTCAGCTAAAGAAGCATTTAGAGTACCCAAAGCAACTAGAGATATGGTATGATCGTAAAACAGAATTTTGTTTTTTATCTCCATCTGCACAAGTAAACATCTCATGCCAGTACAATTCCGTGACTGAGCTCAAAATAATGGGTGATAAGCCTGCCAGTGAGGTTAGTGATTTCCTTGGTTTTGCAATACCCAACCAAACTCTATCAGAGAGTTTCTCAATGGATTCCTTTGTTACAACTCTGTCGAGGCTACCAAGCTTGAAAGTTCTTAGTCTGGTCTCCCTGGGCATATGGGGTCCTCTTCCAGATAAAATTCATCGGTTGTCTTCACTTGAATACTTGGATTTGAGCTCCAATTTTCTCTTTGGCTCAATACCTCCTAAAATTTCCACATTGGTGAAGCTCCAAGCTTTTGTATTAGATGATAATTTCTTTAATGACACGATTCCCGGTTGGTTAGACTCTTTGTCTAATCTGACAATTCTGAGCATGAGGAATAACCGGCTGAAAGGTCCTTTCCCATCTTCAATAAAGGGCATTACTACTCTCACTAATCTTGCTTTGTCTAGCAATGAGATAACAGGGAAATTGCCAGATCTTAGCAGCTTAAGAAAACTGAATGTGCTGGATTTGAGTGGAAACAAGTTAGGTTCTTCTTTGCCGACTATGCCCAAAGGCGTGGTTCTGGCTTTCCTCAGCAACAACTCTTTCTTGGGGGAAATTCCACCAAAATATGGCCAGCTAAGTCAGCTCCAGCACATCGATGTCTCATTCAATATGCTAAGTGGCACACTTCCAGCTGAACTTTTCTCATTGCCAAATATCAGTTACTTGAATTTGGCATCAAATGCGTTAAGCGGGTCCCTTTCAGACAATCTAAGCTGTGGCAGCAAACTTAAGTTTGTTGATATATCGAACAACAGGCTAATGGGAAGCTTGCCTTCTTGTTTGCACTCTGAATCAGGCAATAGAGTTGTTAAGTTCAGTGGCAATTGTTTATCCGCCGATGAACATCATCAGCACCCAGAGTCATATTGCAGAGACCTAGAAGTTCATATGTACAGGACCAATGCTGGTGCCAAGGGCATAGGAGTATTAGTTAGTCTTATTGTAGGAATAGCTGCTGTTATAGTGCTTCTGGCTATTGGCTTTCTCATTGTGTGCAGAAGATACTGCCCTGGAGGGATATCGGAGCAACAGTTGCTGCACAAATCAGTACAAGACAACTCAACAGCAGGGTTCTCATCTGAGATCCTAACCAATGCAAGTAGGTTATTCACTAACCAGAAAATAGCTTAAACTTTTCACTCGGAAATAGTTTTCTGTGAGATGTTTGATGAATGTATATGGTGCTCATATTTCTTTTCCCCTTTGATCCTTCAGTGTATATATCTGAAGCTGCAAGGTTGGGCGCACAAGGTCTCCCAGCTTGTCGGTCTTTCACTTTGGAAGAGTTAAAGGAAGCTACAAACAACTTTGATAACTCTGCTTTTCTGGGTGAAGGTTCATACGGAAAGGTAAAAATCCTTGCAATATATAAATTTCCATTAAAACAATGACCCTTGTTCAGCTATTCCTCACTGCATTTCCCTGCATTGTGTTCCCAGCTTTTCAAAGGAAGACTGGAGAGTGGAACCCAAGTTGCTATAAGGTGCCTGCCTACATCAAAGAAATACTGGATTCGAAATCTCAAACTCAGGTTGGATATACTTTCAAAGATTCGCCACCCGCACTTGGTTTGCATTTTGGGGCACTGCATTGAAGTTGGACAAGATGACGGCAGTGTTAACAGAGTCTTCCTTGTATATGAATACATCCCTAATGGGAATTTTCGTTCTCATCTTTCTGGTACAACCTTGGACTCCAATTTTCTACATTCGATTGTTCTATTATACCATAATGCATATTGATTACGCGTTACATTCTTTCTAGTAGAGAATTGCTCTGGAGGGGTTCTCAATTGGTCAGAACGCTTAGCAGTTTTAATTGGAATTTGCAAGGCCGTGCACTTCTTGCATACAGGAGTTATTCCTGGTTTCTTTTACAACCGGTTGAAGACAAATAACATCTTGCTCAACGAGCATCGAGTGGCAAAACTGGGTGATTACGGGCTGTCAATTATCTCTGAAGAAAACGACAATTATGGGGTAAGGGTCTTCATTATGCTAATCAGATGGTTAACTTTGAACTAGAATTCTTGTTTCAATTGATTTCAAACTTACAACCATATTCTCGACTTGCAGGCAAAAGGACAGGAACCTAAATCATGGTAAGTACTACTTTTATTTCATCTGCTTATGTTCACGTTAAATTTTACTTTTAATGTCAGTTCAGCATATTAGCAGTTTTGAGCAAACAAGTTTACCATTTGAACAAAATTTTCCAGGCAAATGACAAGATTAGAGGATGATGTTTATAGCTTTGGACTCATTCTGCTGGAGTCAATGATAGGGCCTTCCATAGCTGCTAAAAAAGAGGCGACTCTACGAGATGAATTGGTATGCCCTGAAACCTTGAGTACTCTTAGAACTACTCCATTTCCAGCATTGAGCAGCAGAGAAAAGGCTATGCTTATAATCATGTCGTGTAACCTATGTTTTACATTTTCTTTCAATTGAGATTGTTGATTTATCACAAAATCTCTGAAATTATATACACTGTCATTTTAACAGGCATTGTTAAACAACCAGGATGGGCGGGCAAGGATCATGAACCCAGTTGTTTCAGCTACTTGCTCGCAAGAATCTATATCAATCATGATTTCCATTACCAATAAGTGCATTTGTCCAGAATTATGGAGCCGTCCATCTTTCGAGGACATCCTTTGGAATTTGCAATATGCAGCACAAGTCCAGGCGAATGCAGATGCTGAACATAGGTTCCGCAGTGTATAGTTCTTTACATGTGGAGCAAGTTTGTAATTATTCTATATTTTGTTTAGAATTGTAATAAAAGAAATTTTATTTGGAATGTATAGCTAAGCTAACCATGTCAAAAGCAACCAAGTAGTGTATTTCAGACAAGTGCTCCAAGAGTATAAATTGGCAGGAGAAGGGAAAAACAACGGGTGAATGAAACCAAAGAGAATAGTGCCTGAGAGGGTATGGGGAGGTAAAAACTTGAAGAGGTTCCCCTCTGCTGAATTGCCAGAAACTATATAACAAAATTGCAATGTTGAAGTAGCTGATCATAGGGCAACAAGAGAGCTGGGAAACATATATACTAGTAAAAAATCTCCACCTTGCACTTGCTATTAGACTTTCGACCCATCAGAGACTAAAATTGATATTTACAGTAAAGGTAAGAGCTGATTCTTTACCAGCAGACAGCAGCGAGAGTTTAGGGCAAAATCGAGCCTACGGTCAGTTTCTGTGAATGAGTAGCAGCATTTGTATGTTGTAGACGCAATGCAGTTAAAAGTCCTCGCCAAGTCTCCACATGTGCGCTGCCAACTTGAAAGTCAAGAAGCTTTTTCTGCTTCTTGTAATAATCTTCAAGTGGCTTACTCTAACAAAGGCCAAAGACATTATTCATCAGAAACTCATGCCTTTTCGCTTATGTCATATGAATTCTCAAAAATGTTGATTTCATCACCCTAATTATACGAACTGTACATGCAAAAACTTTTAGGAAATATATCAGGATTCAAGAAAGCTCATTGGAGTCCTGAGAATATCCACTTTTCTGCAAAGTACAATAAGTGAAGAATAAAAAGGTTACATGTTAACAAAAGTGATTGATTGTTTAAACCACCATGGGATTTAATAATTGATCCTTTTTCCTTTTTTTAATAACCAATAATTAACCAAAGACTGATTGATTTAGATATATATGTCACATAGAGGCTAAATCATTCAGCTTTCCTTTCTTACACAGGTTTTAGGTTTATGGGCATCTTCAATCATGCAAAAATTTCTCGAAAAGTAGATTAAGAGATCCTGGTAGAGGGGAATAATGGAAACAAGTAAATTCAAACAGTGGCGACTGGATAATCGGGACCATTTAAAATAATGACCAAAAACCAAAACCCTTTTTTGTTTTGCGTTCTTGCCCCTCTTTTCAATTTTTGTTCTTTTCATTCCTTCTGCAATTTTTTTATTGTGTTTTCTTGCCCTTTTTTCAATTTTTTTTCTTTGTTCTTTTCCCTTAATTTTCCTTTTCAAATAAAATACAAAAATACTTTTAAAAACCCTAAATCCCATTTGTGCCTTGGAATCAATATATCATAAAGACAACTTAAGCTAATGGAGCACAATAGAGACAACTTAATCAATATATCCCTTTTGTACCAAAATTATAAAACGGTAACTTGGATGCAAGAGATGTGAGAATCAAAGACTACCTGTTTGGTATAGTCTTGGAGTCTTTCCTTCCAAGAAGCTTCTGCAATAGCAATGAAGGAAATTAGGCCTGGCTGTGCTGTAAGGGCATATCAAATGTTGAAGTACGATAGTCAAAAGAACTCACCCCCTTGAGTGTTCGTCATCAAGTCTTCTGTGCATAAGAAATTCACAACAAGATCAATCTCAGCAAGTTGGTCCAGAATCTCCTACAGTTAGATATAAAACTTTTGAGCAGATTCATATCATATAATGCAACAAAAAGAACTAACATTGATAATTACATAATCTCTTTGGACATGAAGTTAGACGTTAATGAGTTGTTTTAGCAGTAAAAGACTTACAGCCTGAGTCCGTGATCGAGGAATTCCATCCAGAATAAAACCAGTTTCACCTCTGTAATGGCCATCTTCCAACCTCTTCGACAACAGTCCCAAGATTATATCCTCCTGGACAAGCTCACCATGATTAACTGCATTTGCAATCTATAACAATCACAAATATAATGCAAAAAAGAGGATGAGTGACTTATCGAATCGTGTAAAAATGATCAATCAAACGCGAAGCTGTACATACTGTTCAATTAACCGTTGAGATAATCATTCTTTGATTCTTGCCTTTAATAAAGAAGAAAAATTACTTCTGAGGAGCAATTTAAATAAATTACAAGAATAAAACAAAAAAATAATTTCAAGAAACAAAGAAAATATGAATAAAGGGGATAAAAGAATGAAAAGAAGAGGGAGAGACCTGTTTGTAAAGAATAGAGTGAGGGCTGAGTTCTTGACGAACAAGGCTCGCCATTGAAATGTGGGGAACTTTTAGAAGTTTAGACAGCATCTCGGCGTACACGTGCTTCTTGGCGCGTGGGTTTCCGACGAACGCCCACTGCACTCCTCTTAAAGGGACGGAGCCTTCGGTGTCAGCCATTGGAGTCGACCGAATAAGCTGATCGCGGCGAGACCCGTAGTAGTAGCAATAGTCGGGGTCAAGTAGCGGTTCGGCAGCTCCATGGAATCGCCTTACGGTGAGCTGAAGAAGTCGATAGAGCGGCGGCGCCGCCGCCGTTACGACTGCGGTGGCTCTGGTGCTTACGCGGCTGAGCGTAGTGATCATGGCATGGCAGAGGGAGACAGAGGGCTCAAACAGATGAACATAATGTACAGTTCTGTTTGGCGAGTGACCACATGGGTTGGAAGCCATTAGATTAGTCTGCCACGTCACGTTCTTCCTAAGGGCCCACGAACTTATTAATATCTTGAATCATAAAAACTTATTAATCAATTAAGATATTATTCACATATTAATTAATAAAAAAATTAATTTACTAAAATATTTCTTATTTTTAATATTAAACTTAATATATGAATTATATATTACAATTATATAAATATTACATAAAAATAAATTACAAAATTATCATTATTTGTGACGAGTAAATTATTAAAAATTATAAAAAAATAAAATTAAAAACAATAATTTTATATTGAAACTTGTGTAGTGTAAAAATGTGTTGAAAATAATAATCACTTTACATAATTTTTTTTTACAATACAAGAATATTATATCAAAATTTTTTAATGTATTAAAAAATATTAGAGATAAGTCTAAAAAGATATAAAAAATAACTATTATTAAAATTATATTTTACAAAAACTTTTTAATTGCATCATGTATATATATAATTTTTATATATAAAAATATTATTAATTTATATATAATTTTTATATATAAAAATATTATTAATTTATATATAAAGTAAGATTTATGTGTTTTTTTAAATATATTATTTTATAAATTTAATAAATTATTAATTTATCGTATTAATTTTAAGATGAGATCACTCAAAAATATGATTTAATAAAAATTATTAATTTATTAAATATTAATTTATAAAAATTTTACTGCATATGAATCACCCCATTTCCTTTCAAGACAATAATGAAAACAATACATGGTTGAACTTGAGAAGCAGCCACTAAATTCGAGGGCGTGACATGTTGAAACAAAACAAGATAAAATGGTAAGAAAACAATTCGAAAAAGGAAGAGCAGGGAACATGGACCAGAGATTTCAAAGAAACCTTAAAGCATATGATCAAAGCTAATCAGTTGATAATATTATTATAACTTAAGCCTTGAAATTCCATAGGTTGCTACAGAAAAAAAAAAAAAAACAAAAAGCAAAGCTCAGATGCCCTTCTCAAGCATTGCCCTGACCCTCATCGGAAGACCATACAGCCTAATAAACCCAGCAGCATCAGCTTGATCATATATCTGTCCACTCTCGAAGGAGGAGATATCCTGCCTGTACAAGCTATGGGGACTGGTCCGACCTGTTACAGAAACAGATCCTTTGTATAGTTTCAGAGTGACAGAACCGGTGGTTGTTTCAGTAATCTTCTCCATAAATGCATCCATGGACTCACGAAGTGGGTCAAACCACCTTCCAGCATAAACTAGCTCAGCATACTTGAGGGCAAGTGAATCTTTAACTTGAATGGTTTCCCGGTCAAGTGTTAGAGACTCCAGCTCACGAACAGCATTGAATAGAATGGTACCACCAGGAGTTTCATAGACTCCACGACTTTTCATGCCAACAAGCCGGTTTTCAACCATGTCAATACGACCAACTCCATGTCTCCCACCAATCTCATTGAGCTCAGCAAGAAGAGAAGCCGGTGAAAGATTCTTTCCAATAATTGAAACAGGGATGCCAGAGGCAATTCCAATTTCCACATATCTGCAGGAATTGCTTGCATCAAAAAGTTGTTCATTGGCGTACAAAACACGAGAAAATCATTAAGAGGTAGGTAAACATACTCAGGTTGATCAGGTGCATCTTCTGGGTCAACACTCATCATGTACATATCTTTCTTCGGTTCATTGGCTGGATCCTCCAAGATATCTCCCTTCAATGCCAAGATATATTAACGTGAGAGAGAAGCAAACAAAAAAATGCTTAAGCGAAGAAAGGGACTTATACAAAAGATTGAAGCACCTACAAGAAAACAAAGCAGTGATACTTACCTCATGGCTTAAGTGCCATAAGTTCCTGTCTCTGCTGTAAATTGATTTCTTCGTCACTGGAACAGGAACATCATGCTTCTTAGCATATTCAATAGCATCTTCTCTCCCTGTAATATCCCATTCTCTCCAAGGAGCCACAACATTTAATTCAGGATTCAGAGCAAAGAATGTAAGCTCAAAGCGAACCTGGAGGAGTAAATACACTGTGAATTTGTGTTTGAAGGAATACACAATTAAAAGATTAATTATACAAGTCAACTTGTGTTCGATAAAATAGAAGGGTTCTAATACTAAATCTTGATTGAGTGGCATGCCTGATCATTTCCCTTCCCCGTACATCCATGAGAAACAGCATCTGCCCCAACCTCTCTGGCAACGTCCACCATGGCCTGTCACAATGAGCACACTATTACAAGAGGTAAGAAAAAAAATCAAAGACAACAGAGCTAACATAAAAGGAAAATGCAATTAAAAATAAAGATATTGCAAAAGAACAAAGTATTGAGCACTTAGAATCTTCCATTAAACAGGACTCATGCATCACAAATCATTATACCATACTAATTTAGTGAACGAAAGAAGGGATTGAAGTGGCTAACACCTATTCCATTCCCTCAAATAACAAATATTTTTCGGATTCAAAAGTAACAAGGTAAAATAAGGATTCTGAAGAAAGCAAATAAAGTAAAATGATGCTGAGGTAGTATACTATGTAGGCTTCAGTAAGAACTATGCTTGATACAATATAGAACTAAGACCACCTAACAAATTCCAAAATACGTAGTAACCTTTGCAATAACAGGCCGGGCCATTGAGGTCCCTAACAAGTATTTCCTTTCATAAATGGCACCAGCTCGCAAGCAAGGAAATATATAGTCGCTCACAAATTCCTCCTTTAAGTCCTTCACTACTAACTGGCAAGCCCCGCTTGCCTTGGCCTTTTCTTCCAAACCGTCCAATTCCTTTATGCCCTGCAAAATTTTGGAATGGGGTATAACGTATGCATAAAATCAAATGGTATTATAAACTTAAACCACATTATAAAAGAACATAAAGTTACTATCACTTACTTGGCCAACATCAGCTGTGAAGCAAACAACCTCACAACCATAATTCTCCCTGCAAAAGAAAATTACTTAAATCAGGGAAATAAATCATATAATTATCATTAAACCAAAAAAGAAAAGAATGTTCAAAAAGGATCAAGAAAAACTAAAAGCAAAAAAGTCAATTATAGTTTAACCATCATCTGTATAGAACAGAGCTACTCATTCAAAATTAGATGCTTCAAGAATTATAACAGAAGTCTGCTAACATTATCATATTATATATAACATAAATCAGTAGAAATACCTTAGCCATGGCACAATCACAGAAGTGTCTAAGCCACCACTATAGGCTAAAACAACTTTGTTTAATTTGCCTCGCAGCCCTCCAGCCTTTGTAGCTGTGGAAACTTCCATCTCTCCGTCACTGGATAAAACAGCTCTTATACCTGCAAGTTTGCAATGAAAATGAAGATGCTTGTATCTCTAATTGAAACAGCAAAAGGTTAAAACTAAAATAGAATGGTAAAAGACAGCTCAGAAGATGCCTATCAGAAATGTGTTACCAAGCACATATGCGAAATAAATCATGCAACAACAGCATTCTTATTGAGAAAACAAAATGGAAGAAATTCTTTTAAGGTTATCTGCTTGCTGCCTCTATATACTGGTGGTAAAGTTAAATCAAGTAATGTAAACAATAATATAAAATTCATATTAGAATTGGCAAAACTATGGCAATGAAGTAAATTAGAGCCATAATAACTCCCATAGCAATTGCTTTTAAAAAAGAAACAACTGCCATAGCAATCTGTAACTGTCATATTAATAATAATTTACCATATAATTTTTAAAACACTTATTACACTAAAGGTAACTTTTCAAATACAGGAGTGAAGAGGAAGTCCATGGTTATCATGTGCAATAGGTGTATTCTGCGATTTTAACACAAGGCATGTTTTTATAAAGGAACATAAGGAACTCCACTAAGCATCCAGGCCTTTGTGATACAACCACAGCCACCAAAGGACCTTACTAGCTTGGCTAGTAGGCATCTCACATAGGCAGTGTCCTGGACATTAGCTTTCAATGATTTCACTTTTGATAGATCGCAATTGATCAATGATCTTGACAAAAGCCAACATACTTCTAGTTACCCATTTTCTCCTTTCCCATTGACTTAGTATTAGTTTTAACTAAGAAAGTACTTCTTCAGATAACTCAAAGGTTTTCTACCACTAAAACCCTTTCTTTTTCCAAATATTTGAAATATGTTTCCAGAGGATATAGGACAAACAAAACAAGCAGCAGCAACATACACAACCAAAAAAGAAGAAAAGGGTAATGTCTATATTACTGAAAATGTCAAATAACCAAGCAATGTTTGCCCTCACCTGGATTATCAGCAGCTAGAGTAACAGAACCCTTTTTGCTTAGAATTGCAAGGCCATGGAGTGCGCTTGCCCTTCCACTTACCTGTCGATAAAAATTCAAAAACCAATATGGAATGAAAATTGTAACAGCACAGTTCAAACATAGAGAGGAGCCAAAATAGCTTTAAAAACGATAAATTTATAAAATCATTAGTAAAAATACCTCTCGGAAAGAAGACAACTTTCGAGAGCAAGACAAGTTATCAGAATAGAGTAACGTGTCTGCAAATAGAATTAAAATAGCACATTAGGCCAGAATATTATTCAAAAAAAAAGAAAACAATACACTTATA